TAATCAAACGGGACAAACGGGACGGTTCTTGACAAAAATAATCAAAATCGATACTGTCATTGTTTAAAGCGGTTCGGTAACGGGAACGGTACGAAAATAAAGAAAACCTTTCGGAATTTTTTTTTTGGAACGAGATCATTTCCGTCCGGTTCAATAGCGGGAAATTCGGTTTTTTTGTCCATCCCTGCCAAACATGAAAACACGAAATATTGGCTACAGAAATTAACTGAACAGCAACTTTCACATTCGAAAGTAAGTTTAATATGTATTACATAATGGCCCTAGAACAATGATATAATATATATATATATACATAAATGATGAGATATACTACAATCCCGTTACGGAACCATTCTGTCAAGATTTGTAACCGTTAAATTATTATGTAACCGTCGTGGATAGTTGATCTAGCGCTTACAAACCCCGACAGAATAGTTTCGTAATGAGACCGTAGATTAATTAATGATATAATCAATTATATATAATACTCCCTCCTATTCATATAAATGTCGTTTTGAGAAGTTGCACAGTTATTTAAAATATTTTTTTTTTGCCAATAATAATCCTCATTAATGAGAGTAGAAATGAATGTTTTGAGAAAAGATGAAGAGTGAATATTAGCAAGATAAAGGTAATAATGGAAAGTATATATAAAATATCTTAAACAATATTTATTTTGTTAATCTATATCTATATAATGGACCAATCCTTATTTCCATAATTGACATGATTTTAGGCGAGAAATTTTTTCGTCTATATTTGGTATTTAATTAATATTTATTTATTAGCAAATCTTATACATAAAAAATATAATTAATTTTTATAAACTCAATGATTATTACTTATTAACTACAAATTGGATTAAATTTAAATTTTGACCATGGATTAATTAGATATATTTTTAATAAGATAATATATTAATTTAATATTAGTTTACTGACACAATTCAAAAAATTATTATGAAAATTGATTTGATTAAGTATATTATCATCTATGGTTGTAGGTATTAATTTAATTCATTATTATATTCAATATTCAGAGGTATTTAAAATACTTAATAAAGTAATCAGAATAAGTATGTTTAAGTCATAATAACTTAATATATAATTTAAAATATTAATAAAAGTTTCTAAATTGTAGTCAATTTAACTATAAAAAGGCACATCCAATTGAATATATCATATGCAGTGCTATAATACTTTTATTTTTATAAGGTTATCATTTAATTTTTTTTTGGACGAAAAAAAGAAAATTTAAATGATATACTAATAAAAATAAAATTTGATGGTCGTGTGCAATTCATGATTATAAATTTCACCTTAGAAGTATCTATGTACACAAATAAACTATTTATTTAAAAAATAATTTTTTTCTTATAATATTTTATAAATGAAAAACAAGTAATAAGAAATCAATGTATAATAATTTAAATTATAGCACTTGGAAATTATACAAATCCTCCCTATATATAATTTCAGAATGCGTTGAGCCTACGTGGCTGCTTCTGGTGCTTCGGAATCCTATTTGGCGAAGAATCATGCTTCGTAATTAGGTTTGGACACATAATATTAATATATTAGTAATTAATAATCTAGGTTCGGGTATTCCATAAATATTATTTAGCTAACTTAGGTATTTTAATATCACTTTTACTAATATAACCCTTTAATTATTTGTAATTTTACATAGTGAAACACTAAGTGACTAATATATCCCTAAATTTTGATTTGCTTCCTTCAATAAGCTGTTGAGTTGTAAATGTATTTTAAAAGTAGATAACTTTTGTATTTTTTATCGGTTTTACATATATAATATATCAAATTAATCATCTTTTGATGATCTTCGATTTGACATCCATATTGTATATATAAAATAAATAAATTTTATTTATTTTTATAATAATAAAAAATAATAATAATTTTAAAATTTATTAGAAAAATAAAATTATTTTTCAATTGATATATTTAGATTTAATGTAGTTATATAGTGTAAGTTAAAAAATTAGTATAATATAACACAAGTAAGTCGCACAAATAAAAAGTATCATAATAAATATATAATATATATATATATATATATATATATTCTTATAAAAAGTATTTAAATTTTCAAACTACTTTTTTCCATTAATTTTAAATTTTAAGAAAAAAATTAGTAAGTACCCGTGTAATACACGGGTGTTGTACTAGTAGGAGGTAGTAAAACTTAATCAAGCCAGCAGTCAAATAAAATTTAAAATCACAACGAATTTACCGAAAAAGAAAAACAAAAAATAAAAGTGAACCACAGTTATAATGACT